GGGTCTTAGGAGGAGACTTAATTTGGGGAGCGGCCGAGTGGGGGATCCCAAGTAAAGGGGGGGGGGGGCTAGCTCCGGTAGGTGTGACCTAGGAAAAGCCTGCGACTTAATTTACCTTGCATTATAAATGTAATCCTTTATGGAGCATTTAAAGAGGTATGTCTATAGATTTTACTGATTCACGAACAATTGTCAAGGCTAACAAATTAATCAGGACTCGCAGAATCGCCTGCCTGACGTCCCAGGGCAACCAAATATCTGCGTCGGGCAACCAAAAATAAATAGGGTGCGTCCTAACAGGCAACCTCTTTAACATCTTTTTGTAACATAATATTCTGTTAAAATGTTAATAAATATTTATCATTATCACAGGGTTTCTCACCTCGCCGGTCATCCCTGTCCGGCTCTCAAATTTCCGACCGGCATCTAAACTGCGCCATTTTTTACAAAGACTTTTTCAACCTTAGAAACATAATTAAACACAAAATACAATACCTTGCTAAAAAATCAAGGGCTTTTAACTGTAAACGCCCTATTCATTGAGAAAATAACAGTAGAAGTACACGTCCCCATGGTTACGTTGATTTTTAATTAAGAGTCTTGCAGTGGATAGGCCCACAATATAACAACTGTTATACACACAACAGAAAGCAAACATATAACAGCAAAGTTAATGATTTTATTAGGATGATCAATGACTAAATTAAAATGACATGTATGAAGTGAACGTACAAAAAAGCAACACTTCGCTGAAATACAGCTGAACTACTGAAACCATAGCACATGTTGGTATCGCTGAACAAGGCAGTCGGCTATTCCCTCCTTGGGGAGCAGCAGCGCGTTTACATTCCTGAAGGCGGCGTTCAAAGAATCATATCAGACACTAGTGCGTCTACATTCCCGAGTTGGCGGCGTTTAAAGAATAAGACTACCGTATGTGACTAACCTTGTGTCTGCTTCTCCCATGCTTCTCCTGATCGTGGGAACCTACTTGTGTGGGAGCGTTTCTCACTCTAATTTACTGTTACTAGGCAATTTGAGGTAATGCCAACTGGTGGTATATGCTATTTCAAACAGTTTCCTTCCGTTCATGATGAAGTAAGAGCATCAATACAAAACGAAGTGAATTAATTATATTTCTGAACGGGACCAGTAGCGGCAGGATGTGGCTGATGGGGGTACGATGTCTCCGACGGGGTGGGCAACGAGAGCGTAAGTGGGCGTGGCTGGGTGTCGCTCAAAGTTTCTGGAATTGTTTCAGGGTTGAAACCCGGAAATTACGAAAATTTTAAAGGCTTTATTTAATCGATTTTAGTGTCTTCTAATATATCATAAAAATACATAAATTTTTTCTTCCCGCCCCCCTCCCCCGGTGAATTGTTTTTCTTCTCGACCGGGGATACCGATCGTTTCGGTAGAAAAGTCAGTTTGTTTGTAAATAATTCTCAACCACAACAGCCACTGAACAACAAACAGCGGTGGCTGATTAATTTCAGTCCGAAATCAAAGTTAGTGATGAAGAAGATATAGAAACCATACAAATATGGTATGAGTCAATGGAGGTCCAGAAATTTCATGTAATTGGTTTTCAAGATATAGCTCCCTATATTTCCACCCCTAATTTGCATATTTATGCTAATAATGTCGGCAAAATGGCACTTCCGGTCATTTTTGAAGAAAATGTTCCATTAGGGTAAATAGAAACATGCATGTTCTGAACACCATTAAGAAAGAAGCAACTTTCTACGACATGTGGTTACCAAGATATAAGTACCCTACATTTTCAGACATAATTTGCATATTTCAGCTAATTTGCATATGAAGATGAGCGTAAAAAAATTGGCTACTCATTTTATTCGATTCAGCATGCTTCAAAGTATATAATTTTAAAAAAAATGATCACAAAATTCCCACGGGGTGACATAAGCCCCCGGACTAAGTTTGTTAATGGCATATCTGAACTAGGTAGTTTGTTTAAAAATGAAGAAGTGCGAGGTACAAATGTTGATGAGGACTTGGTGTACTTTTTTTTTTAATTGGGAATGCCCTACCTTATACCTCATGCATATCTGATACTCTCTGTGGACCTTTATCACTCTAGCAAACTTCATCATGCGATTATGATCAAAGCTGTTAGCGATTCCAAGATTGTGACAATCACGTGCAAAGTAGTCCCATTTGTCCACGTCAATACCATTATGTTTGTTGGCGACAATATCATACAGGCACTCCTGGGGATTGCCTTTGTATTTCCTTTTAGTATCACCCTACAAACCAAAAAATACAATTCATCAGTTAGCAATAATTTTGAAATATTTACAGATTCACACACTTTTTTCTTCTACCTTCAGCACATAGGTTTTGTACTACACAACAAATATTTTATTTTTTATCAATATAATTCAAGTTTTATCATATTTTATTAGCAAATTAAGTGACACTTACATGTTGGGGTATACGGTAAAAATTGCCCCAGAAAAAATGACCACAGGATTAATGGGCCCAGAAAAAAAATGGCTCGGGTAAAAATGCCGATGCGGTGATGAATAACAGGTAGGCAAATGACCCAATAATAAACTTTAGTATAAAATTGATTTTTTAAAATCAATTCTGCAAAAATTAACCAATCAATCAAAATATAGAATCATTTGTTAGTTTTTGAAATGAAATAACTTATTCAATCAACGTTCTAGTTGTGTTTGTTTGATTTTTTAAGTAAATAATTTAATTCATCAACGTATCATATTAACAGTAGCATTTGCTATAATAAAAGTATGCTTTTAATATGTAAATTAGGATAAAAGTTAAGATTACATTACAAAATAATGGTCAGTGGGGTACAAGATATTTAACTACTGGTTTGATTATGCTTTTAACATGATAATTAAAAGTCAGGTGTAGTTGATTGTGTTGAATACAGACATTGTATATCCTCGGTTCCCACACCATAATTTGCGTGACCCAAAATAATAAAAGAATAGCAACCAATGCCTATTGCATGGCACTCATTCCTAAAATACAATTATGATATAGACCTTTACCCACTCCTATGACATGTTATTTGGCTACCTTGCCCTAATGGTGGTGGTGGCTTTAGGGCTTCATGCAGGCCTAAGGGAGAAGGGGTTTTGACTATTTCTAGTGAGGGCCCAGTGACAACCAAGGAGTCCTTTTTTTTCAAAAGCTAAATTGTTTTACTTAAAAAAACATAATATAGGCGTACATTGATTAATTGATGAAAACATTTTAAGCTTTTTGGCAGATTTGATATTTTTAAATCAGTTTTATATATTCATTCATATTCTGGTTTTATTGAAAAAAATTATGTAAGTTTGCAAAAATTGAGAAAATAATAATTTTCACTCATTTTTTGGTAAAACAATTTAAAAACCTGTTATCTTGTTAACTACTCATAAAAAGCTAAATTATGTATCAAACTGAAGGCAATATTGAAGATTAGGAAATTTTATCATAAATATAGTGCAAGTTGGAAAAAAATGATTTTCGATATAACTTTTGTTAGGAAAGTAAAAAATGCTATCTCGTCAACCACTTGTTATAGAAAGAAGATTATTCAATATAATGGACCATTTAATCATGTCAATTGAAAAAAATAGTGATTTTAACTCAATTTTGGTAAAACACAAAAAACCCCAATGTATTTTGAAAGCTACTTGTCATAAAAAAGCTATATTATGTATCAAACATTGAAGTCAATAGTCATGTTAGTATTCAATATAACATCTTAATCATAAACATGGTGAAAGTTTAAAAACAGTTTTTTTATTATTTTTTTTGTGAAAAAATGAAAAAACCTCAATATCTGTTAAACCACTAGAAAGTGAAATTATGTATCATACTGAAGGTAATGGTTATGTATTCAAAATAATAGAGGTCTTATAAACATAGTGTTGACAAAATTAATGTAAATAAATTGGAAAAAAATAGTGATTTTAACTCAATTTTGGTAAAACACAAAAAAAACCCAATATTTTGTAAACCACTCGTCATAAAAAGCTAAATTATGTATCAAAAACTGAAGGCAAGCTGTATGGCCATTATTCGTAAGATATCAAATTTAAGTTACGTAAAGGCACTATACAATGTCTACAATAGCATAACGACTTCACACATTTTCTGTGCAAATACAATTTACCAAAATCAGTTCTCTACAATGTGCTGTAAGATCTATATTTCATCATCCATCTCGTCCTCACTCTGCAGATCATCTTCTTCCAACAGTGTTTTGGCCACCTGCATCCATAATACAATCTTTAAGCTATTTCAATCAAAATCTTATAAAGTGTAGTAAGACTTTATACTATCGTAGATATTGTATTGTGTCATTACGTAATTTAGATTTGATATCTTTTACGAATAACGGCCATACATTCATATTTTTTCTGATTTTGGCCAACTAGCATTATGTTTATTATTTAGACCGCCATTATATTATTAATATGGCTCTTGCCTTCAGTTTTTGATACATAACTTTACTTTCTACAGGTATGACAAGTGGTTAATGAGATAGAATTATTTTTTGCGAATTTCTAACAAAAGTGTGTGAAAATCACTTTTTTCTCTATCTTTGCCATTGTCTTTAGTTTGATACATAATTTTGCTTTCTATGACAAGTTGCTTGGTTTCCCAAAAATGAATTAAAATACTATTTTCTCTATTTTTGCCAACTTCCATCATGTTTATAATTAATATCTTTGTTATATTGAATATGACCTTTTCTTTACAGTTTGATACATGACTTAGTTTTCTATGACAAGTACTTAACAAGATCGTTTTTTGTGATTTCTTTTTACCAAAAATGAGTAAAAATCACTATTTTCTAAATTTTTGGGAATTTACATTATGTTTATGATTAAGACCTCTATTATATTTAGATATAAACATAATCTTTGCCTTCAGTTTCACACATAATTTAGTTTTCTAATTATAAGTGGTTAACAAGATAGCAGGTTTTCAAAATGTTTTACCAAAAAATGAGTGAAAATTATTATATAAACATGACTCTTGCCACCAGTATGATACATGATTTAGCTCTCTATGACTAAAGTGGTTTTTAAGATAGCGTTTTTTTTAATGATTTTTTTTACCAAAAATGAGTGAAAATCACTATTTTCTCAATAATAAAACCTGTATGTGTGAAGGAAAATCAAAATTCTTTTTGATATATGATCCCATGTAGTAGAGGCAGTTTTTAAAGTTGTTTGGACAAAAATCTGAAGTATAAGTAATTAACATATTGGTAATTAATCAAATACAAATATGAAATTTTATGTAAAAATTGAAAAAATATGGAGTTTTATAAATAATTACCAAAATCACTTTTTATTAGCCTAATTACAATAATTATGACGCATGTTATCAAATACCATGTCCTAAAATATAGATAGTGGTTAAATTTGGTCAAAAAAGTAGGTCATTGACCTCTGACTTCAAAGTGCACCGCTTACAACACTTAAGACTAGGTGTTTCAGAAGTACTACAGTATGTCCCACACAAAAATCATATTTTACAAAAAAAAAAGATAAATGGTAAAATATGTGCACTAAATCTCTCAGTCTTTATAAGACTCATATTGCTGCCCCCACAATTGTTCTTGTACATCTCTTTTGGATGCGTTCCAGTTCATTTGAGTACACTTCAGTAAGGGAGGAGTGCCACACAGGGCAAGCACATTCCGTCAGTTACGGGCCTAACAATGATGTGTAAACTGTAAATGGGTGCTCCAATTTTCTTTAAACAAGTTACCATAATAGAGCCTTTTATTAGTTTTAGTTATTATTATTTCAATATGATTTTCCCATTTGAAATTACTTTTATATATTGATTCCAAGAAGCTACAAGAAATTTACTTTTTTTTTTTTCATTATTTCCAATTTTGAAAATAGAGGGGGGGGGGGTCGACAGCATATTTAGAAAGTCCATGTGTTTAGTTTTTTCGGGATTTACAACTTTCGACCTCTTTGGAAGCTGAGGGGAGTGATCTTAGCCATTTTCCATTACTAAGGACATTGCCGTTTTTCAATTATTTATTTACAGATAAACCAATACTAACAGACCAATTTTTACAGAACATACTAATAAAAAACTGTCTCATAAGGACAAAATGTGATAGTTGCAAGATGAAAGGTGATCCCTCAACCAAAAAGCTACAGCTAAGTTTCTTCCTAGCAAGAACATCAACTTACACTAGGACACATGAGCTCCTTAATATATGGTATATCAGCTGCATTGTTCTTAAAATCTTGTTCAAATTCGTTTTTCATGATCATGTGGTCAAACATCTTTTTGGAAGCGTCTTCATGCTGGATAGAAAAGAGAATTATACTATTATTATTCCTTTTCTGAATGTCCTTAGTGGGGTTAAAACTGTTGTCAATGATGGGGTGGTATATACTGCCGAAAGGTGTTAAATGCTGAAGCTGATGTGCAAGACACAGTCGCCAAGACACTGTTACTGAAAGCTGACAGCCGAAACTTTGGTGTATTCTGTGGCTGTTTTAATATCTTACGATTGATATTTACTTTTGATCACAAATTTGAATCTCAACCATGATCTGCCATCTCTTCATTCAGTACTCTTTTTGTCAACATTTTGCTTTTGACCAACAATTTGTTTGCATTTTATAATCTCATCAAGTTTTGTTCTATCCAGACTGAATTTGATAAATTTATATGTGAAATGAGCCAGCCACGTAGCCACTCTTTAACTTTGAATTTCAAGAGTGTATACATATCCTGTCTTGTCCTGTCATGTCATCAATGCTTATTTATAAGAAGAGGGCATAACATATGATCTGTTATTTGCCATTCATCCAGAGGTGACGAAACTAGGGGGTGCAGAGTTATGGAGAGTAATGTGTGACCGGAAATGGTCTGCAGTCAGTTGGTTGTTACCATGCGCCTGTGATGTTCAAGTACAGCAAAATGAAATTATTTATGTAATGCATGAATAAAGTTCGGGGTTCATTGGGTAGTGAAATGATTATTGTACATTTTAAATGCGGGGATTATTAGCGAAGATATGGAGACAATTATTTCGAAGTTCCCTCTTTCTCCAAGAGGGGATGCAAATGCTTTGTAAAAATGACTCCGCCGCGGTACACATTTTCACAAAGGAATACATGCAGCTGGTTAGCTAACAATTTGCAAATGTTACATGAACACTGGGAAGGAAGGTGCAATCGTGTTCTGTTGCCAACAAACATCTGTACTGTGTAGAGGGGGGGGGGGCTAGCCTACTGATGTACTGTGAGCGGGGGACGATGAGGCATATTTAATAAGACAGGCCTAGGCCTAAGTAGACAGTGCAATTATATGCGATAGATAAAAAGTACACTTTCGAAAGAAATTAAAGATAAGGGGAAAAAATGGATCAAGTGCGATCCATGGACCCCGTGTAAGTAGCTCGGGTCCAATATCTTCTACAGTAGTACGGACCTCTAACGGGATATTCCATTTTCTGCACAGGTTATCTAGTTATCCAAAGAATTCCAGCCTGATCGTGCTATGCGATCGCAGATGTAAACAACGATTTAACAACCGTATTGAGGACGTTCGTGGCTATGATGGTATGTTTTTTTCGTAAGTGTATCATGTATTTAATAAAATCATATGTATTAATGTATAGCCCGAAAACGTTTAATTTGATTGAAATAATATGTAATAATTTATATAACCCGAAAATAAGCGTCATTTAGGCCTAGATTACACTAGCCTAGATGAGATCGAAGCTAGCTTAGCTAAGCTGGCTAGGTCTAGAAGTTTACGCTTAGACTAGCCTAGCCCCAAAATGCTAGACCTCTATCGAATACTGCCTCCATCCCTAGCTAGGCCCAGGCATGATATGGCCGATGTAGGGCTAGGCAGCCTGGGAGGTATACCTAGGCCCCTCCTATAATTGGTAGTCACACTATGTCTAGATATAGACAGTGTAGTAAAAAAAGTAGTGATATTAATAAACAGAACTGAAGGGTCTATGCCTAGCACTGCAGGCCTATAATTGATAGCGCTGCTATTAATTATTAAATTGATAAGTTAATAATGTGTGCCTAGGTCCTACATTGGCTATTAATTTTTAAGTGCTTTGAATGATGTTAAATTTCCATTATATTTTATATCTTAGTCTAGGCCTAAGCCTAGATGTACAGTATACAGTATCTATTACAGTATTATAAAAGTAAAATACGGTATTATATACCTTACTAGGCTTGTTTTATAGCATACCTGCCAACCCGGCCCTACCGATTTAGGCGGTAGGCTACCGATTTTCTCACTTTTCTACCGCCTACCGAATTACCAGGCTGTTCCTACCGATTTTAAAAAATTGAAAATCAACATTATTTTATGCTAAGAATAATCTCGTTCGCCGTCAGAATGATGGGCTACCTCCTCCGGCCACACACTCATAATATAATATTTAGGTAAACAAACAGCACCACCAGGTGTCAACTGGTGTTTTCTAGTCTTTGTACACTAGACACCGCAAGCTATATTATTTTTTGGCACCTGGTGCAGTAGCCTATGGTAACTCGAGGCGTGCGTGGTGTTGAGTCGCCTAGGATAGCCTAGGAGTAGTGTGGGATCACACGAGGCCACGATCTATCATCTGATCCTATTTTTATAGTTTTTCAAAATGAGTAAAATAAAATTCAGGTGGAATAACAAATTTAAAGACCAATGGACTGCAGACCACAGTTGTATTAAGTCATCGAGGAAAGGTCAGTTTCATGCTTTTTGTGTGAGTTGCAGGACAGACTTTGAAACTTAGTGTGTTGACTTTTTTTAATGTATGAGTTTGACCAACTGAACATTTCCATCCTTTCCATTTTTTGTAAAATCGATTATCTAAACCCTTAAATTTACTGAACTGTTATAGCTGCGCCCCCTGGACCCCCCATTGTTGGGAGGGGGGACACCTCCTCCCAAACCCACCCCCCGCCTCGGGCTCCGCACTGGGATGGCGCTACGCGCCATTTTCTCAATAACTTCCTACCTATTTTCTTCTTTTAAATGTCGGCAGGTATGTTATAGTCGCTGATTTATATAGTTTATTTTTATTATTTTTACTTGTGACTTTTGCAACTGCTGTTGAATGCAAATTTAAATAAAATAAAAAATAAAATAATGTCTATATTAGTGTTTCCTTATGAAAGTCAAAATATGTTATATTTTGTTTTGGTGATAAAGAGCACAATTTACTATTTTGTGAATAATGTTAATGCCTTTCTATTACAATGGTAACAACATAACTACATGACAGCTCTAAACTGGATTGGCTTCCTTGTTGTGAAATAAACGAGTTGTGACTACCTTACTGCTTTTTGCCTCATTGTGATATAGTCAGTGTTGATGCAATTGTATTAGGGTCTTGACATATCACAATTTCAACTACAGCAATGTACCTACAACAGTTCTTATTCCCATTACGAAGCAGCTTTCAACTGAAGTTTTTAATCATATTGCTACTTAAAATGCGAATGATGATAGTACTACAGGTAATATATTTTTTAACATTTATACACACAAATGTTTTACAATTACATAGTCATGATTATGTAAAGACCAAACAAAATATAATTTAAAATCTTAAAAACCGTAAAATTATGTATCTATAATATTAATATGATCCATATCTTCAATTGGTTTTCATTGGAATATGAGAAATATTTCCTCACAGATACATGCAACTTATTTGATATCAACATCACTTCCCGTCACGTCCTCAATACGGTTGTTTGTCAAATCGTTGTTTACATCACCTCGCGATCGCATAGCACGATCAGGCTGGAAATTCTTTGGATAACTAGATAACCTGTGCAGAAAATGGAATATCCCGTCAGAGGTCCGTACTACCATGGAGGTATTAATTACCTCCATGGTACTACTGTAGTAGATATTATATTGGACCTGAGCTAATTACACGGGGTCCATGGATTTTATTTATTTATTTATTTCAACAATCTTTAATGAAGGTAGTCCATCCAGCCGAAGCTGTTCATTAGGGACCCTCAATACACAGTAAAATAAAACAAAAGAGCGTATTAAACTAATTAAATTACAGTAAAATAAATAACAACCTCTCAATTCAAGATTTACGTAAAGAATTAATTCAAAATTAAATAAAAAACTTAATATAAAAATTAAAATTAAATTACAATTAAAGATGTAAATGAATGAGCAAGATTAAAAAACAATAGGCAAAAGAGACATTAAAACAACAAAGGGAATAAAGTAGCCTAAATAAAATAATCAAATAAAGTAAAAATAGATAATAGGCCAATGTATATGAGAACTATAAATCAAATCATTCTTAATTTAAAGAAAATAAATCAAAAATAAAATAAATAAATAAATAAATTACAGTAAAATAAATAACAACCTCTCAATTCAAGATTTACGAAACAATTAATTCAAAATTAAATAAAAAACTTAATATAAAAATTAAAATTAAATTACAATTAAAGATGTAAATGAATGAGCAAGATTAAAAAAACAATAGGCAAAAGAGACATTAAAACAACAAAGGGAATAAAGTAGCCTAAATAAAATAATCAAATAAATTACAAATAGATAATAGGCCAATGTATATGAGAACTATAAATCAAATCATTCTTAATTTAAAGAAAATAAATCAATTTAAATTAATAAATAAAACAGAAAATAAATAAGGTAGAAATCAAAAATGAATTCTCAGTGCAAATTCAAAACACAATTTAAAAAAAAAAAGGCCAAAGAAACAGAATTACAGGAGAGAAAGAAGGAGGTAACTTTTGAGAGACGATTTAAAGGAGGAGTAAGTAGAAGCATTGTGGATATCTAAGGGAAGAGAGTTAAAGAAATAGGGGGCATTAAAGCTAAATGAAAGTTTGAAAAGTTCAAAGTGGGGTCTGGGGATATGCAAGTCCCCTTTAGTGATCTGTCGAGTGTTCATGCGGCCATTTGCAGTTATTTTTGTGAGACACTGACAAATTGTTTGGGGAGCAAGATTGTGTAGAGCTTTAAAATTTAAACAGCCAAGTTGATATCGATATCTGTCATGGAAAGGAAGGGTCTTAGCATAAGCGAAGTGGAAAGAAGTTAAATGAGTAAGAGGAAGATTAAGTAGAATGCGAATAGCTTTATTTTGAATTTTTTAAAGTTTAACGGTAGTAGTGGGTTTGGAATCCCAGACAGAACAGCAGTAGTCGAGTCTAGATAAAAACAATGAATTGTACAAGAGGTAGAGAGAAGAATTATTAGTGAATTTAGAGGTGCGTGCAAGTAAGTAGGTGATGGAGTTGAG